TCCCCCACCTCCTAGTACCTACACCCTTGTCTAGTCTGCTCCCACACTGTACCAAACTATGGCTTCTGTTTCGAGCTCTCTTTCTCTTGCCCTCAGATCTTTTACTCGGGAGGAAGACGCCAGCTGCCATGTCATAAGTAGCCCTGTGGAGAGGCCCTTGTGATGAGGAACTGAAGTTTCCCACCAATAGCCCATGATGAAGTGAGGCCTGCCTGTTGGCTCTGTGAGTGAACTTGGAAGCAGATTCTCTAAGTCCAGTTGAAGCATGAGATGATTGTGGCCCCAGTTCATGGCCTGGCAACAACCTCATGAGAGACCTTGAGCCAGAACCACCCAACTAAACCACTCCTGATTACTGACCCTCAGAAACTGTGTGAAAGAAGTTTGTTGTTCTAAAGTGCTAAATTTTGGGACGCCTGGGTGGCTCAGTTGGTTAAGCGTCTGCCTTCGGCTCAGGTCATGATCCCAGTGCCCTGGGATCGAGTCCCACGGGCTCCTTGCTCAGCAGGGAGCCTGCTTCTCCCTCTGCCTGCAGCTCCCCCTGCTTGTACCCTTGCTCACTCTCTCTTGCTCACTCTCTCTCGCCCACGCTCTCTCTCTCTAACAAATAAATAAAATCTTAAAAAAAATAAAGTGCTAAATTTTGGGGTAGTTTGTCATGCAGTAAGAGATAACTAATAAACACCGCACAAATTAATATATTCTTAACAAAATTAAACTATAAAAATATCTAAGTAGTAATTCTTTTCTAAAAGATAAAATACATTTTTGACTTAAAAGTACTATCGTTGGTGTTCTTTGAAAAGAGGTGATTAGATGTTTACAGAATAGGTAATAGGAGATTTACCCGGTAATTTATAGGTCACTGATTCTAATTTCACCTGAGTTCTTGGCAGCCAGACATAGTTAAAATTGAAATCTGGTTGCAGATAGTAATTGCGCATGGCTACACGTTCCCATTTCAAGACAACTTAGTTTCTTTCTTCTTTGGGGGGAGGGGAGTGGATTCTCAGTAGATACAAAAATCTCAATTTAAATTAAACTATCACTTTCCTTTTGTCCTGAGTTGCCCTAGTAGGATGCTGAGTAAAGGGGAAACAATAGTCTACCAGCTGCTGCTGTTGATGACAACATGCAAAATAATCACTCTCTAATTAGATAAAACCTCTAAAGTTTTATCCTGGAAGGAGAGCCTCCAGGTAAGGAAGAAGAGCAGTTGACAGAGCTCTGACCCCTTGTCTAGTCTACCTTTCATCTTCACTTTACAGTCTCCATCCAATTATTCATTCGGCATTTCATCGAAAAAAAAAAAAGGTTACTGAACCTTTGCTACACACTAGACACAGGAATATAATGATGAACTAGATAGACCAAACTCCACCCTCCTCTACCTCTTTATCTGGGAGTGGAAAAAAGAAATTAAGCAATTACAATGTAGTGGTAATTAATAGAGGTAATTAATATCTTCTATCTTCTAACTAATAGAAGGAAAAGTGTGGGGTGCAGTGGCAGCACCTAGGAGGGTACCTATCCCAGGATATTGGTTAGGGAGGGACATGGAGGGTGGGGAAGGATGTGGGTGGGAGTGTGGAAAAGCTTTTTGTTAAGGCGTCATTTCAGGAGAAAAAGAACTCTCCTTACAAAGGCCTGAAGGCAAGGGAGTTCAAGATACACTTAGAGACTTGGGTTCAGTTTGATTGCAGCATAAAACAGAAAGGAGTGGTGAGAGCCCCAGGGAGTGCACTACACCTTTAAACTGCAACCCAAGCATGGACACAGTTCCTTTTGGTGGGTTCTCCTTTAAAAGAGCAGGCACCAGGAAGAATTAAAAACCTAGCAAATCTTTAGGCCCTGACCTTTTGCATCCTGTCTGAGAACACTTATTTATATTCTAGGCCCAGAAACCTAGCACAGCTTGGTGAGGAGTATGCACGTAGTGGCAAGAACTCGAGGTTAGAAAGATCTGCTTTGAATCCCAGCTTGAGAACAATAGTAATACCAACTTCACTCAGGTTGTGTCAAGATTAAATGAAGTAACAAATGTAAAGCATCTTTTACACACTGGGCATTCACAAAAATTCTCTTCCATCCCATTGCCTTGCTTCTGAGCCCTCTGCTGGCCTCCTAGCCAAAGGCAGCACGTCTTGGTCCACCACATTGACCCCATATGTGACAGAGGGCAGTGCTCCCTTGGCCATCCAATGCAGTTCTAGTCTCTACCCTCTTCCTCGGTGAACCCAGGATTAGAAAAACTAGAAGTATTCCAGCATAAAAATCCCTGTCGTACAATAATTGTAGCATCCATTAAAAATATATATATATGTCCATACACAACTGAGATTTGTTCTACCACCCTTTCTTTACATTTTGCATCTTTTTCGCTATTTGGCAGATAAGAGTTCAGAGCGGTTAAGTGACTAACCTTGATGTAAGCTTTGCATGTAGCTCATTTTCTACACAGAGTTATGTCAACTCTACAAAGGCTGCCTCCCAGCAAATATTGCAAAGGGCATATATTTTAAGGTATATTTTTAGTTTTTTTTTTTTTTAACATTGTGAGGACTCAGAGAAACATGGGCTTTTACAACTATATACCCTTTTGTCAATTTCTAACTTTGTATCCTTTCACACACATTTTAAGTTCTCTATATGCAAAACTAAAGGGGGATGCTCGGATCTCTGAATCCTATTTCTGCCCAAGAATCGTTCCCATTACTTTAGTAATAAGCAGCACTTAAAATTTGCATACCTGCGCACCTATACTCCTAATAGTAAAAATGAAGCTTCCTATTTTCTTAATAATAAAAAACTGTCTCCTCTGTGAAAGTGAGAGCACAAATGAGAGGTTTAACTTCAGCTGCTGATTTCAAATGGAATTATTCCCTCATATGATCAAAGTAAGATCTCTTGAAGGTCACCTGTTCTAAATCTAGTCTTCGTCTAGGGAACTGTCTACTTTGCAAAGGTGTCCTCCTCCCTTCCGAGCAGCTCAAGTTGGGTCCACAAATGATCCTATTCCTGCCTCCCAAGAATATCTAAATAAATCTTTCCCCAAGCACCCCTTCCCTTCTACTGTTTCTCCAAAGGTGGTGTACAGCTTATCTGGATCAGAATCACCTGGGTACTTATTAACAGGCAATTTCTGGGTCCCAACATTGACCTGAATTGGCCCAGCAGTGAGGCACTAACTTTCTACAGTACCCAGTAGGTTCACTCTTAATCAATTAAATATTCAGGTCTTTTTCACCAAAAAAGTCTTCAGCAAAATTTCCCTTATCTTGTACTAAAAACAACTGGTTCTTAACTGGCTGATAAAAATGCTGAGTCAGACAGTGATCTGTGTTCAACACCTGATACCTCTCCTCCAGTTGCTCTATATATTAGGCTTATATTGCAACTGTGTACCATTATTCAGCCAAACAAGAATATACCTAACTATGTTGTCATCCACTTTACATTTCCCTATGTTGTTCACAAGGATATCACTCTGAATATTTTGTGGAAATTCTGAAATTATGGCATCTACAGAATTCCCCAAAATACCAGGTAATGTAACCCAAATTATAAAGTACATGAAGTCAGTTTGGTACAATTCTTTATCTGGATGACTCAAATTCTCTATTTCATTTTAAAAATTTAAATAACCAGGTTTTACTTTTCTTAAAGTCCTTTTAGACATGAGACAACATTAGGAAAAAGGATCAACCTTCACCATCCTAAATATTAGCATAAGATATTAAACAGTCTGTTTAACTTAAATTAGGCAGTTTAAGATATGCTACATTGATAACGTAATCACATACACTTGGCAATAAAGTGATTGGCATCTTTATTGGGAGGTATGGACGTAAAATTATTCCCTCAGGGTGAGGCATTTGGCTACACATTTGTCGACATCCTTTCCTGTATAATTTAGGTCTCACAGGCAGAAAAGGGTTGAAAAACAGAAATCAAGGAATCTCCATCAAGTGGGTAAAAAATCAGGTCTGAGGGAGGCAATGAAGGTAGAGCATTGTTTAAAAAAACCCCAAATCCTCGGTCCTCCAAATAGAAACAGCCCGTGAACAAGGTGGGTATTATTAGCACGAGACTGGCGTTCTTCTAATTAGCTCAAGAGAAAGTGAATATTGGCTTTCCAAGTGAACCCCTCCAGTCCAGGGATATGTGCACATCACACCTGGGCCTTTCAGTTACAAATCCACCTCCTTAAGGAGCCGTGTGAAAAAGCAAGAGCAATCAACAAGAAAAAATCCTCCCAGCTATAAATCAGCCACGTGGAGCTGCTGCAGCGGCAGCGGTAGCCCTGACTTCCTGGTTTGCTTCCTGCAAGCCTTGCCGCTGGGGGCTCCGGGTAGTGGGTGTAAGAAAGGGAAGGGCAGCCAGGAGCCGCTCCAGGTCCGCGGGGACGGGGGAGGAGGGCCGTGGGGAATCCTGGAGGGCACGGGCGTTAAGGACAGAGTTATGGCCCATAATTAAAACAAAAGTTTGGGAATCTGGAAGCTTTCAGAGCTGAACAGTGGGGCAAAGGCTAAGGACCAGAGCTGGGGCAAGTGTAAGTTAGTTACAAGGTAACAGGGAATTTGCGAAGAGGGTTCTTGGGCACAGCGGTGAGAGAAGAAGGGGACTGCGTGCCGGGAAGGGGGTAGGTACACAGAAAGGAAGCTTAGAAGAGCGAGGCACACGGGTCGGTTGGAGCTCGGCGGAGGCCGGCGGGGAGGGGGGGGCTCGGCGGCGGAGCGCAGTCCGAGCCGGCTAGCCGCGGGGAGGGGGCGGAGGGAAGAGCCCGGGGGAAGGTAGAGCCAAGGGGAGTTCCGGATCTGGAGCTGGAAAGGGCAGGCTGCGGAGAGGGCGGCAGCCGAAGCGGTAGGGGTGGGGGAGGGAGGAGGTGGAGAGCCGGAGGAGGGGGAAGGAGGGAGGGGAGAGCTGTGGCGGCGGCTGCGCCGGGCTCTGTGTCTCTCGCCGCCGGAGGAAGATGAGGCTGAAGATTGGGTTCATCTTACGCAGTTTACTGGTGGTGGGAAGCTTCCTGGGGCTGGTAGTCCTCTGGTCTTCCCTGTCCCCGCGGCCGGACGACCCAAGCCCGCTGAGCAGGATGAGGGTGAGTGACCCGCCCGCCCCCTCCGGCGGCGGCGACCTGCAACTTGTTTTGTTTGCGCGCGCGCGTGGCGGGAGCAGGGGCGGCGGGGTCGGGGCGCGGCGTTGCGCCGCAGCTCCGCAGGTGGTGCTGGCGCAGCGCGGGCCGATCGGGGGCGCCGAGCCCAGAGTACCCGGTCGCCGCTACCAGCCACCGGCCCGCCCCCTCGCCGCCCCTTCCTCCCGCGCTCCCCCGCCCCGGGCTCCGCGGGCGGCGGCGGCGCTCCACGCCGGGACTGCGGGGCGGAGCGGGAGGAGAGCGGGGGCCGCGGCCGCCCAGCCCCCCGACTCCTCTGTGCGGGGACCGCCGCGGTCGCGGCTGGGGGACGCGGGGTTGGTCCAGGCTGCGGCCTGTGGCGCGTGCAGGCCTGCAGGAGGCGAGATGCTGCCGTTGCCATCACCGCCGTTCGGGACCAGGCCCCTCGGTGCAGCCTTCCCTCCCGCCACCGCCCGTCCGGGGATGCTCGCAGCCCCGGGCTCCCCCGGCCCGCCTGCGTGCGGGGAGTAGGAGGGAGATGGCGCCCCGCCTCCGGCTAGTACGGAGAGCGCCGCCTTCCCCCCCCCCCAACTCCGGTGGCCGCGAGACGGGGTGCGATGCGAGGCCGAGGCCTCGACCCGGACCGGCCCTTCCTCTCGCTTCCCCGGAGAGGGGAGGGGCGGTTGGCCCGAGGTGGCTGAGGGGCGACCCCGCCCGGCTCGCTGGCCCCTCCACCGCAGTCCACACCGCGCCGGGGAAGTCCCTTACTTCCAGAGCCGCGTCGCCCGCCCGCCCGTCGCTCCGGGCGGCTCTGTCCGGGGGATGTGGGGTCGGTTCCTCTTCCCGGGCTGTGGCAGGGCTGCTCGGGCCGGAAAACTAACTTGTGCCGGCGCCCCGCCGCTTGGCTTTGGCTGCGTGCTCGCCCAGCCCGGCCGCTCCGCTGGGACGCGTTTGTCTGCCGCCCTAGGCGCGAGTGTTAGCTTTGACACTCCGTTGCTTTTGAGGGTTTAGTCAGGCGCCTCGGAACGTTAGTTACTGTGAGCCGCGCCGGGAAAGGGGCCGCGGCGACTGCGGCTTCGCTGACCCAGTTGGTTGGCTGCATACCGGCTTCTTCCCCCCCCACCCCCAGCCTGATCCGCTCCCCAAAAATGAGCCCCCTCCTTCCTCATCCCGGAGCCCGGGAAAGCCCGCCGGGCCCGCTGCCCTTGGGGGTGAGGGAGGGCGCGAGGAGTTGAGGGCCGCTGAGCGGCCCGGGGGCCTTGGGAGGAGTTAGGCTCTGCAGTAAAGTGCCTTTGGCAAATACTATCTACATTGCGTTTGTGTGATCTCCTTTGTTAACTTTCCTTAGCATTAACTTAGCATCGGAAAGTTGAATGAGAAGGCTTCCTTTTAAGAAGAATCCTAGGAAGAGCTTTCCTTATCCGTTTCTGTCTATATGGTGAAGTTAGATTTACTCTTAAGTTTTAGTGTTTGAAGTCGTGACCGAAGTGGAATCTCTTTGTAATATCTGGGGTGGGCTCCCATCTAAGTCATCTAAGTTACTGATAATAAAAAGTACCAAGTTTTCCTTCAAGTGTGTTTGTGGTTTTAAGCCTCTCAGAACTCTTGGGCTGTTGGTGACCTCTTTATGGTTTTTTGCTTAAAAATGATTGACAAGGGATAACTGAATATTGCAATCGAGAGTGTTTTAAGTCATTAAATGGCCTTTCACAGAGAGGTAGAAATGTTAGAACCCCACTTTCTGGGAGAGAAACTGAGGAAATCTGACAAAACTAACCAGAATGTCCTGTAGTTCCCATGACAGGTGTTTTAAAGAGGTGGTAGAACATCCACACCGATACTCATCTCTTGAAATACTTTATTAGAGTGGATATATAATAAGTCCCCAGCCACAAGGCTAGTCATTCAGTGGCAGGTGGTGATATCTTGATTTTTTTTGGTCCAACTTAATTTGATAGTTTGTCACTGGGTCCGCTGTAATTTCTATCATTTGCCAAAGACAGAAGCTAGCTTTTTAAGACTTTTAAATGTAATTAACACTGAAAAGAATGCTTATGGATCAGGAAAACCAAAACCTTTTATTAACTTTACATAAATGTTACCTAAGCAATTTAAGGCGTAACTTGTGAATCATTACAAGCATAAACAAGGGACTTTTGCCTCCTTTTATTAAAAACTATCCTAAGAACTTCTGAGATCTGGCACTAGAAGAACATTTCCTTTAGAGAAGGTTCTGACCAGCCCGCAGATTCTGACTCCCGAGTTTCCCTTCTGCCTTCTAGTTCTTTTCCTTTGATTTATGATTGCAGACACTTCTCCCCACCGTGAGACACCTGCCTCTTTAATGCTGATCCACCTGTGGGCTTTTTTTTTTGGATCCCTATAAATCCCTGTAAGTGGCTTGAAATAGGCTAGAACAATCAACCAAATAAAGGTTCGGCCTCAGCTCTGGCAAGCTTGTACTTGCGGCCCCACCCTGTGCCACTGTTTGTCTTGTACTTTCAATGTTCCAGGCAGTAAAGTCTGTAGCAACCTGGTCTTTTTTTTCTTTTTCTTTTTTTTTTTTTTTTTTAAACCGGGACTACTTTTTATCTGCCCAGCTGTGGAGGTCACTATTACAAAACACTTACCCATGGTCAAGGTGAGAAACACGTTTCTTATCTCCTTCCTCATTCAGGGCCTTTTGCTGTTTTTTCTGAGGTAAATGATGTGAAAGATGATCTTACCGTTCAAATTGTACTCTGTTGTAGATGATGTGATTTATTCAACAAACATTTTTGAGTGCCTACTATGTACTAAGCTAGTTATTGAGGAAATGCTCCTTACCACTAACCCTGGATCTTACAGCTTTGTGGGGAAAAAAGCACCCCACTTTAATCAAAACTCCACAAATCTGCAAATAGAAACTATGCTACATGCTGTGTAGAAAAGCCTTAGGGGATAAGAGAACAGGAATTTGGTCATAAATGTCTTTTTTTTAAGATTTTATTTATTTATTTGGCAGGGAGAGACACAGCGAGAGAGGGAACACAAGCAGGGCGAGTGGGAGAGGGAGAAGCAGGCTTCCCGCAGAGCAGGGAGCCCGATGCGGGGTTCGGTCCCAGGACCCTGGGATCATGACCTGAGCCGCTTAATGACTGAGCCACCCAGGTGCCCCTGGTCATAAAAGTCTTACTTGAAGAAATGACTTAGTTGAAATCTGAAGATTTGAATACAGATAGTTGTTGATCTGGATGTGGGAGAAAGGCACTCCTGAGAGGGAGAAGTATGTACAAAGGTCCTGAGGTAGGAGGCAGTATAGTGAACTGAGGAACTGGAAGAAGACCAATATAATTAGAACATGGAGGATGAGAGGAGAGGTGGAGTGAGGATGTAAACATAGTATGGGTCTTGCAGACCATGCTAAAGATGAGGTCTTTAGAGCAGTAGGAAACCATTGAAGGATTTTTTAAGTAGGGAGACTTGATTAGATTTGTGTTTTGGAAGGATCATTCTGATTGCCTACAGGAAGTATGAATTGATTTAGAGCAAGAACAAAGAGTAGGAGTCCTGTTGGAGGTTATAATAGTTCAGGTGGGACATGGCATTGCTTGGATGGGTAGGGTGACAATGGAAGTGAAGAACTGATTCAAGAGCTATTAAAGATGCAAAGGTATCAGGACTAGTTAATTGGATGTGGGAGTGGAGAAGGTGTCAGGAGGTTTGGGATGATAGATTGTCACATTGAAAGTCCTGAAGACAAACATTCATACATTTTTTATGTTTTATGGTTATGGGAAGGCTTCCTTTTTTAGGCTTTGTCCTCTGGATATTTTCAGGTCAGCATTTATTAAGATCATCTGTTTAGTACTTGCGAAGTGCAGAAAGTTCCTTTAATTAAATAAATTATGGTATCTCCTAGACCATACATCCCAAGTTTTAGTCTGGAGTTTAAAATTGAACCATAAGCTCCTGACAATAAAGGTTTGTAATGGAAGTGTTGAGATCTTCAGTGGTTTTATTATAGCTAATCCAGTGTACTGTTGAGAAGCTGCTGGTAAATGGATGATTCTTTGTATGTGTAAATGCTACCTTAGTCAAACCATTAATGCCACGTAGGTTTAGAGCATACGTAGCAGGGCTGATTCAGGAATCCTTTCTAGGCAGAGAGATTTCAAGGGATAAGCTAAGACCCGTTGAAAGGAATATTGCTTAGATGAAGCTGAGTGACTGAATTGATTACCCTGTCACAGTCAAGTTCCACCTTACCAAACCCTTTTATCTCTGTGACGATTGATTGCAACCTGAAAGATTCTGCCCTTGACCTTAAGACTTTATTTCAAATGGAAGCTCCATTGATAATCATTAGGAATAGAGCTATCACTTAGCAAGAGTGTAGTGTCTTAAGTGGTCACTGTTGTCTTACTTCCCCAGTTGAAATGCCTCGGGATTTGTTTTTGTTCTATTTTGCTGTCCTCCCTCACAGCTGTAATGAAAAATTCCCAAGTCTGTGAACTCTGGGCGTTATAGACGTCCTGAAATTAACGCAGACTTCTATGTACATGTGCTTTTTTGGGGGGGGTGAGAATCAGAAGCTTTCTCATTTCACTGTAAACCGCTGACTGAGTCCTTTGAAGGCAGGATTTATGTTTCTTGGAGTAGCTCATGGAGTATCTCCCCCATTTACCAGGATGCTGAAGCATTCATTCACGTCTCCCCTTTAGGTCCGGACACCCCAGAAATGCAAACATTACCAAGAATTCTAAATCTGTGGATTTTGTGGAAGTGTTGCCCATCCAGTGGTCAAGGTCAGGCATCAATCCTGTTAACGACCACATCTCTTCACCTCCCTCCCAGGAAGACCCCATTGGAGAATACCAAGAATACCTCAAGTAAAAGTCCCTGTTATAAAGGGATCTCATCCTAGTTGAAGAGATGCAATACTTGCATGGCCTGGGTTCCTTCCTTTCTTCCTTAATCCAGTAGCAATATAAGGA